AGATCTCATCCTGAAGAAAGGAATAACTGTACTTCACAAACGAGCGTATTCATGCTTATGAATGGATAATGATGACATAGAAACAGTATCTAACACCATTCAATCTTCTCTTGCAACCAATCTCCGCATGTCGCGCAATTTCGACAATAAAGCTATTCAAATTCCTGTTTTAATCAGATATGTTGAACAGTCTGATGGATAAACTAACAAATATAACTTTTACGAATCAAGATGCAAAGAAACTTGTTCCTGCCTTTTTATGATACATCAGTATATGTTTCCCTGCAATATTCACTTTAGTTTTCTATCTATCAAGTATTAAAATATCTATTCTCAAACAGTGCCTTTATCATCACTGCAATATTAATCAGCAAACTGTGGATTTTTATACTTATGTAGGAAATTTTTAAATGCAAAATTATACAGTATGTGGACGATATCAGGAAACACATAAAACACATAAAGTACTCATGGAAAGTAATTTTTGAGATTTGAAGATAGTGAATTCAAGAATTTCTTGCCACTACATACTTTCAGTTCTTTCTATAACATTTATTATTATGTATGTAAAACGATTTTCCCACCGAAATTCTACTTCTTGAAAATTTCTTGAATATTTGCATAAACATCCACTGTCTGCTAATGTCACCTTAGAATGCTATAAAGAATACCATCGAACGAGCTGAAGCCTCATTCTGCCTCAGGACATCTCAGGCATTCAATTATTTCTCTTTTTATCGATCGCCTCATTTTTCATAGTTCTGTTCCCATCGTCGCGACCACGGATTCTCAGAGGTTTGAATCATCTTTCGAAAATCTTCCCAAGCATCCACGACGTTTCGAAAGCATCGACAAAAAGCAAAGTGCGACGATAGCCCTTTATGGGTTGACTCCAAGTAAGAAATAGTTCCTATAATGAAAGCGAACGCTTTATACCGTCTCGTAATAGGCGTACAATCAAGTTCGAGTGTGCAGGTTGCGCCACAGAAATTCCAGAACGAAGTCCTTTTTCTTCCTCAAAGTGAGATCGAAAGGGGAGAGTCATGTATATATATATATATA